CCAGGTTAGAATTGTGTGGAGCCTTGTTGTTGACGAGACTTGTCAATAAAGTAATTGAGTCCTTGAGTTTTAGCGTAAATAAAATGTATTACTGGACAAACTCTAAAATTGTGCTTGCGTGGCTATCTGCAGAGGCTGCCAATTGGAGTGTTTTTGTGGCTCATAGAGTCGCCGAAATACAACAGAACTCGAATATTAAGAACTGGAGTCACGTAGAAACTATAAACAATCCAGCAGATTTGATTTCCCGTGGATGCACCCCGGAAAAATTGATTTGTTCTAACTTGTGGTGGCATGGACCATATTGGTTAATTGAGAAATCAGAAGACTGGCCAGATAGTTCAATTGTTTCTTGTGACTTTGATATTCCAGAACAACGCTTATCCAGACAAGTATTTGCCGTTCTTGAATTAGATCAGGATATTTTTCTTAGATTCTCTTCGTTGACAAAGTTGCAAGGAGTAGTGGCTTTTTGTCTACGTTTTTATCGAAATATAACTTGTAATAAGGCTAACAAAGTTTTAGAGGAATCACTCCAAGCGTCCGAACTAGAGGAATCCTTGAATTGTTTAATTAGAATTTCGCAGAATTCTTCTTTTCCAAATGAAATTCTTGCTTTGAAAATGGAGAAGCCCATTCCACGGGGCAGTAAAATTTTAATATTAAATCCTTTCTTGGATAGAAATAATATTCTTAGAGTAGGTGGGCGTTTAAATAAATCGTTGGCATCTTATGGACAAAAACATCCCGCTATCATAGATAATAAACATATTCTGAGTAGATTGATAATAGAACATGAGCATAAGCATGATTTACATGTAGGTCCTCAAAACTTGTTGTCGAATGTCAGAAATAAATTTTGGATTTTGGGCGGCATAAATTCAATAAAAAAAATTCTTCGCAATTGCGTTATTTGTTTTAAGGCTAAGCCAAGAGTAATTAAAACAACCATGGGAGAATTACCAGAGCAGCGAGTAGTCCCTGCAAGACCTTTTCTTAATACAGGTGTCGATTATGCCGGCCCTTTTATAATAAAAACTTCTCCGCTTCGGAATGCCAAAAAACTAAAGGCTTATTTATGCCTATTTGTGTGCTCCGTAACAAGGGCGGTGCACCTTGAAGTGGTATCGGATATGACTACAGAATCTTTTCTAAATGCCTTTAAAAGATTTATCGGCCGCCGTGGTAAATGTTCGAATATATTTTCCGATTGTGGCACCAATTTCGTTGGTGCCAACAATGAAATGTCAGAATTTTTAAATTTTTCGCAGAATCCTAAGTTTAAGAATAGTGTTTTCAAATATTTGTCACATGAGGGTATAAAATGGAATTTTATCCCTCCTAGATCGCCCCATTTTGGGGGACTGTGGGAGTCCCATGTGAAACTAGCAAAATATCATATGAGACGAGTAGTGGGCAATTCATGTTTAACATTCGAAGAATTATCAACTGTTTTCGTTCAAATTGAAGCATGCATGAACTCCCGTCCTTTGAGTCCCGTGTCGAATGATCCCTTGGATCTGACGCCTTTAACTCCCGGACATTTTTTAATTGGGGAAGCGTTATTGGCAATTCCTGAATCAGACGTACGAGACGTTAAATGTAACAGGTTAAATCGCTATCAATATCTCAAGCAATTAGTGCATCACTTTTGGGATAGATGGTATCGTGAGTGTTTCAGTGACCTCAATAAGCGTACTAAGTGGCGATTCCAATAAGATCCCAATGTGAAAGTTGGTGATATGGTTATTTTGAAGGAAGACAATCTTCCTCCGTTACAATGGCCGATGGGAAGAATCGAGCAGGTATTTCCAGGTTCTGACCATATTGTGCGTGTAGTTTTAGTTAAAACCTCAAAGGGCTCCGTTAGACGTGCGGTGTCTAAAATTTGTATTTTGCTCTTCGAGACATAGTTTTAAACTTAAAACTAACCTAACTAGGTAATAGTTTTATTTGTAGAATTAAATATTTTTCTTTTGTTTAATACCCAAATTACTAATCAGAATAAGCTTTGTTATTTTGTAGTTTAAAATGTATCGAGTAATGTATTTTAGTTTAAATTTCATCGAGAATTTCATTTTGTAGTTTAAAATTTATTATAGTTTGAAATGTATTGTTGTTTTTGAAAGTAAGTCCTTTCAAGGGGGCGGTATATGTTCCGGTAATTAGATACCTGAATTGGTTCAATTGGTTCAACGCTAAATAAACGTTTATGACAACGGTTCAAGCTGGCAACAAGGCGTTCGCACGAGGCCGCAGGGCAATGTTCATAATCCGCTCCCCTTTTTAGTGTTAAGTAGTACCCCAAAGAAGATGCGTGTTGCGCTTGGGCCGACAGCTTCTTGGCATTCGGGGTTATAAATTATTGCACAATATTGCAATAATATTGTACTAACTCGTTTTCCGCACATAAAGTAATAATAATAATAAAGTAAAATTAATAGGATTCGAGTTTTTATTGCAGTAATCAATATACAGTCCACTGAAGAAGGAAAAATAAGTATTTAACCTAAAAGTGAAAAGTTCAAAAATAAAGTGAACCAGTTTAATAATACGCCATCAGAAGCTCTTCGCGAATTTTATCCGCACTGACTAATTAGGTACTGTAGACTTAAACTCAAGACTGAACTGAAGACTCAACTGGACTTAAACTGATTCAAAAATTCCGAAACCGCTGTTTTTATATTTATCATTCCCCCCAAAATATTTCGCGGCCACTTTACACAACACTGGCCATTGACCGTTTTTCTTTTCTAGGAAATGAAATTTATTTGTTTAAAATCGAATAATTATGTCGCAATTTCCTGGTTTATCGGGGTCAACAGATTTGGTTTAAGAATGAAAGAATGTGAGGACGAATAACTCAAAGGATGCCGAAAACTCGTGTCGGTCGTTAATCATGCAATCTGTCACTCAGTCACCAATTTATTTACTTTGCCCTTGTTTTTAATATTTTTATGGATTTGATTTATGTGATGACACACGCTTGGTGACTAACTAATAAAATTTGAACTTATTTTGATTAATTTTGGTCAATGATAATTTGTTTCATTTTCAATTTGTGATTATTTGATCACATTCAATTTTTACTGTTAAGAAATTGTTAATTACGGGTCTATTTTTCCCGGGTCATAACAGCACAATCCACAACAGAATTCCAAAATCACAACAAACGGCCTTTTCGGGAACGCTGATTCGCTGGTTTGATCTTGGATTTGACTAACCCGAGCAGTAGCTGTTTGTTTTTTATCTTTCTCTAATAATTAATAAAGACCATTAAACAAAAAACAAATTGCATCAGCTGGTGATCGAGTTAATTGGATTCCGAATTCCGGATTTCCGAAAATACCTAAACAAATCATATGGTGGCTACCATTACCAGCGTCGCCGGCGACAGAAGAGTGGGGAGTAAAGGAAAATTGTCGATCTGCCTAGTTTGGGATTTTGCTGAATGGTGTCTTTACAGTTTAAAAGAAATTATCTTGAAGAATGCTTAGTGCTCAGTCTTTGAAAAATTGATGTTTATTGAAAAGAAAGCCCATTTTCTTACCAGTGGACCTTACTAAACTAGTAGAAGAATAATCTCAGTTCACACAATGCTGAATATTGATTAATCTAATTGTTTTGGCGAGTTTTACATTTTCCGACTTGAGCAAAAGTCATCGTCTCCAAGAATTCCTAATGAATTAATTTATGAATTAATAAAGGGGAAAAAAGGTAGCTAGTTCGAAAGATCTCCTCGCTCCTCGCTCCTCGTTGCTGATTGCACTCTAATTTAAATCATTGGCATGACCAACTCATCGGGGAACGTGTAGCTGAGTTGCGCTTTATGGAGACATCCTTCTACTGAATAAAATAAATTAGAACCCGTATCGCCTATACACCTCAAGCACCTGAAATTTAATCAAGCGAAAGAAACATATTTCCCTCATCATCCTGCATAACGCACCGATAAATTCAGAATGGATAAATTACATTTGGGCATCTGATATGTATCATTGAAAATGAAGAGAAAGTTAATGAAAATTGGAGGATTAAAAATTTTGGTCCTGGACGGGAATCGAACCCGCGACCTCAGCATTGCCAAAAAAAAAAACTCAAAATCTCTTTATTTGAATAAATTCAACAGTTACAATACATATGCGCGCCTAGCTTGGCCGATGTTCTGGCCCACAAACCACTGTCCTTTTCCCATTGGATCTTTTCTCAACGTTCCCTGGTTGCCCTTTCACGTTCTTATGTGACCTTTCGGTCGTTGGTAAATACCACGGATGGCGCGCATTGGGCCACTATACTAGCCTGCTCAAAAAATAGGGGCTGATGCGAGGTATGGAGTGCCGAGCGCGCAGCGCTCTCTTTGTGGGGGAAAAGTTCCAAAAAAACCCACTTCCGAGCATTGCCGGTGCTACGCTCTAACCAACTAAGCCACCATGACCCTATAGATCTTTTTGATTTTTGTTAAGGTGTTGTTAGAGGAAGTTGCGTGGAAGTCTATTGGAGGATTGAAAAGTTGGTAATGAGCGGAGAACCTCGCAACTTCCTCTAACAACACCTTAACAAAACTCAAAAAGATTTATAGGATCATGGTGGCTTAGTTGCTTAAAGCGTAGCACCGGCAATGCTGAGGTCGCGGGTTCGATTCCCGTCCAGGACCAAAATTTTGAATCCTCCAATTTTCCTTAACTTTCCCTTCATTTTCAATTTCCACACGTTTCGGTTGTTGTAACCGACAAAAACTTCATTCCTTTTGATATAGATCAATTTAGCCTGGGCCCTAGTATCATCTTGCCCTTAGATCTTCCTCTAAATCCTCTATCTAGGAATTGGAATAAAAACCTTAGTATTTTTGAAACCATAACTTCCCTTGGGGCTGAGAATTATCCGAGACAATTATGTTCACCTCCGGTACATTGAAAAAAATAGGCTTAGGTACCAGAAAATGATTATTTCGTGATCCAAGCCTCGAATGACAACAAAAAGGAAAAATAAAACAAAAAGCGTTATGAGACATTTATTTATTGTAGGTTATCTCTAGCTGCTCTAAAAAGATAATCTTCCATGATATACAATTTATTCAGCCTAAAATTGGTCAATCTTGTATTTCAGTCATACAACCTTTTTCTTTTATTATGAGGCAAGGCGTATCTTAACTTATTCCAGAACCACTTGTCACCCCATTCGATATAGGTATTAGTTCTTAAATAATTCTTCAACTCATCATCCAACTTATTTTCATCTAGGCCACCATAAATAACAACAATAACTCTAATTCTATCTTCTTGCATTGCTTTGGTATGTGCAGCTCTAAATTCCACCTTTCCCCAAACACTTTCTAGAAAATGATTTGAAAGCACTATTAAAGTTCTTCTGGAATTTTGTACGCTATTATTAATTTGTTGCATAATAAGTTCTCCAGGAATCCAGTCTCTTGCATGAATGCAAACTTTATAAGCGTTATCACATTCTAATTTAAATAAAAGATTTTCAATTACAAATGCTTCATCTTGGTTTGCATAACTTATGAAAACGTCATATGTCTTGTCTTTATCTAGATCTTCTTCAGTTATCCATCTCAGTAACCATTGCTTTTCGTAGAGATAACTTTTGATTTCCATTGGGAATAGGGAAAAAACTACTGCGAGTATGGCACAGCAAAGTAAAGCTCCCAAACCAATAGACAGCAATGCTGATACATTATGTAATGATAGTTTGCATAAATCATTAGTTTTGATTAATGCCGTGCTGGTATTGTTGCAGATAACATTTGAAGAATCAGTCTATAATAAAAATAACTTTAAGAATAGATGCTAGATAATAGAGACTTTTTGCACCCCTTAAAATAACAGCAGTTTTTGGATCAGTTATGGTTACCTTAGACTGGGGGAGGCCTATGTCCAAAGATGGACTGAAGAAGGCTGAATAGATAGATAGATGGTTAGGTACCTTCAACGACGATAACGATTACCACGATCTTCAAAATCAGAGATTTTGCAACGCCAAACGTTTGCATATTTCCGTTATCCTATTTTGCCTATGGGCCATGAACTACGCCTGCGCTTTCGGATGTAAATCATTTTGATAACAAATTTATCATAACCTAAAATTCATTATTATGTTTTGTGTTAGTTTTTGTCACACTTTTGCTAATTCTGTTGATTCCTACGTGTTAATTATTCTATTAATTTGCCAACGTTGTCATATCTTGTTGGATGTATTAATAATAAGTGGAAGAAAAAAGAATAATCTAGGAAAATAGTCGAAAAATACATGTATTGCAAAAAAAAAAAATCCTACCCAAATGAACTTTTCAGGGATGATAGGGGGCGGGTGGGAGATCATAAAACCGAAAATATCAAATATTCACCCCTCTGGCGTTTTGCGCTATAGGGGTTGAAAGTGCGCCATTGGCGATTACTTGGTACCTATTGATTTTACAAAAAAATGTTTCAAATAAAAGATGTGCAACATTATTTGATCTACAATGTTTATCTAAAAACTTTTTTGATTAAGGGCTGTCTGTGGTCATAAAGGCCGTTTGAAATTTTATAATGAAAATGAAAAATTCTAACCAACGTGAAAAATTTTTCCACAACGCATACAACATTTTTGCTTTATGAAGTTTTTACTCACCCCCCTGCCGTTTTTCAATAGGGGTAGTTTAAATTTTATTTATTTTTTCACAAAAAAAAATTCCTTATAAAAGTTTTATAAGATTACATTTCCTACAATTTTTCCCAATCAACTTTTTTTGTAACTCATCCCCATTCAGCGGGGGGGGGGGACACTTCCCTTAGGAAAATTTTAGTTTTTAGGGGTATATATTATTATTTTTCTCTTTTCTCGCCTTTAGTGCATATAAAAAGGTGCAATTAACATTGTATTAAAATAATTTTTCTTCCACCACATTTTGTTTTTAGGGGTAGTTCGCCTATTTTCAACTTTACAAAAAAAAGTTATGGAGAAAAGTAGCTCAAAATAATAAAATGAACAAGTTTTCTTTATAATTTTTTTTTGTAAAGTTGAAAATAGGCGAACTACCCCTAAAAACAAAAAAATGGTGAAAAAAAAATAAATCCATTTAATACGTTAATGTTAATTGCAACTTTTTATATGCACTAAAGGCGAGAAAAGAAAAAAAAATTAATATATACCCCTAAAAACTAAAATTTCCCCGAGGAAAGTGTCCCCCCGCTGAATGGGGGTGAGCTCAGGGGTGAGTTACAAAAAAAGTTGATTGGGAAAAATTGTAGGAAATGTCATCTTATAGAACTTTTTTTTTTTTTTTAAATAAAAAAACTTTAAACTACCCCTATTGAAAAACGGCAGGGGGTGAGTAAAAACTTCATGAAGCAAAAATGTTGTATGATTGTAGAAAATCTTTTCACGTTGGTTAAAATTTTTCATTTTCATTATAAAATTTCAAACGGCCCTTATGACCACAGACGGCCCTTAATCAAAAAAGTCTTTCGATAAACATTGTGGATCAAATAATGTTGCACATCTTTTATTTGAATTTTTTTTTTGTAAAATCAATAGGTACCAAGTAATCGCTAATGGCGCACTTTCAGCCCCTATAGCGCAAAACGTCAGAGGGGTGAATGTTTGATATTTTCGGTTTTATGATCACCGACCCTCCCCCTATCATCCCTGAAAAGTTCTTTTGGGGTAGGATTTTTTTTTTGAAAATCGACAATTTTCCTAGACTAGAAAGGGACCTGAAAAAAGCAATAGGCTATGGTTGAATCTATTTTTTTAATTTAAAGACGCAAATTATGATCATTAAAATGATAATCCACAATTATTTTTTCAGATGATTTTAATTAATTATTTATTGAATCGGGATAACATCACTTCAATTTTCTTCAATGTGGCATGCACGCAATTTCACCATAACCATAGGTATAGCTATAAGCACAAGGTGATTCCTCCTTAAATAAGGTGGCTCGTTGTGGTTGATACGCACAACGAAAATTTTTTTCAGTATAACGATAACCACAGCCGAATGGCAAAATATGAAGTGCAAAAAGTCTCGATTATACCAAATTTTCTGCCGTTATAGTTCTGCTTAAAGGGGGTGTGACCCAAAAGAACAACGTAGGTAAGCTTCTTAAATCACGAATTTTTTTTTTAGATCTGCTAGGGAATTCTGTAGTTTTCGTTTATATCGCGAAGCTAAGCGAAAGCTAAGCTAAACCATAGCGAAGTCGATTTTTGTTGATATTCTATAAGGTGTTCGCTTCGCTTCCGCTTCGTTTTCATAGTGTCACACGACAAAATACGAGTGTGAACGACGTATGGTTAAATAATCATGGCAACATTGTAGGTATATGAGCAAAAACTATAAAAAAAGAAGAGAAAATTAAAAGGAACCAATATAGGAACATACCCCAAATTTCGATTTTGAAAATTTGAAACTTCAATGACATAATTAATCATTCCTATTTATTATTCCTCTTTTTCTTTCTATAATATTTATATTGCATTTCTCAAATTATTGTGTGATAAAAATGTTGCCGGTACAATTTGTTGTAGGTATATAGCGAACTCGAGTGAAGAAATCAACTCAGATTAACGCGAGAAGACAGTAGGGTCCTTTTTAAACAATGAATAAAAAGACTGTTTATACCTTAGATTTATACAATGATTCGAGCTAGAAGTGACCCATTTGGTTTAACAGATAGAGGTTGAAACGGATGTATTTTTGATTTTTTCTCCATTTTGCAGTCGAAATTATACCTAAATAAATTAATGAATTAAATTTGATAGAGAAAAGTTAAAATTGCTCAAACAATCAAAAATCTACATAATAAAAAACTCGTCAAGATCAAAACGAATAACATAACCCGTAATTTTCTAACGTGACGATGATCGACCAATCACTATGGAAATTGGAAATTTTCCAGTGGAAAGCGAAACAAAACGCGAATCAAAATTCATCGCTTTCGCTTTGCAATCGGCTTCGTGATCGGTGTCCTCGATTCTTCCCGAAAGGGGTTATAGAATAGCAAACCGAACAAAGCGTCCCATAACGAACGTCATTGTTTCACTTTGAGCTTATAGAATCCGCCCCCTGGCGTTCGTAACTTTAAACCGCCCTAACTTGAAACCGGTTCATCTTAGCAAGATGAGGTTTAAACATTTTTTATAGATTTTTTTGCACTAAAACTTTAATTTTTGGGTCACAATCCCTTCAATAGCAATAACGAAAATTACAGCAAGAAAAGGACAGTTTTTGGAACCAAAAGTTTACTAACCCAAACTCAAACTTAAGGATGTTCTCCCGTGATACTACTGGTGTGAGTGTCGCAGGGAAAACAATCCACCCCAAATAGTTTTTTTTTTTTTTGTAGAAATCGGTGAAACATTTCGAAAGATTGTGCGGGGGACATGTTTTGACGTTACTTTTGTGGGGGTTGAATCGTCCCCAAAGTCGCGAAAGCCACCCCGGTAAAAATTTCAGATTAGGAGGGGGACTTCTTTTCAAACATTATTATTTAATCCTCAAAATAACCTGCGAACATTTCACCCCAGTCAAAATTGCGGCGGGTCAAAATTTTATAAATTGCATAAAAACAATTTGAAATTTTTAACAGGGTGGCTCTCGCGACTTTCGGGATGATTCAACCCTCATGAAAGTAAAGTTTGTTTTTTTTTTAAAGATAATTCCCCAAGTCAAAAATTTAGTAACTATGTTGGCAACACAAGCCTTTTCTACATAAAAAATTTGAAAGTATTGACACTTACATTGTATTGCCAACATGTCATTTTGACTTTTATCTTTAAAAAAAAAAAACAGACTTTAATGTCAAAAGAAGTGCACCCAGAATCTTTCGACATGTTCCAGCAATTGTACCAAAAAAAAAATAACTAATCGGGGTGGACTATTTTTACTGGGGCACCCAGTATATATGTTACTGTAAATGCCCGAAATTCGGTAAAACCTAGGATAAGCGCGCTAAACCTAGGATTTACCAAAAGTAAGTTTTAAAAGCCCAAAAACTAGTTATTTTTTTTTTCCATTTCGGACACAAAAAGTAAATCTTAGGATGTACCACACCGGATTGGTAAAAGTACGAATTATTTTTCTTATAATAACAATATCGACAAATTAAGGATGTTATGTGGTGGCTAAGGATTTAAGAAATGGAATTGCATTCGAAAATGTTCCACCAAAAGATGTTTGTGGAGATCGTTTAAAATACTCTGCAATTCTAAATGACACGGAAGTTTGCCCTGTACCAATAAATAAATATTTCTATTAGTGGACATTTTAATTTATTTATTTTCTACTTTACTATTATAGATCCATAATACCTAGGAAACGAAATACGTTAACACACCTATAACAACCTGATCCATAACGCCCGCTTTTGCGGGCGTTATGATCTATAACGCCCGTTTATAATACTCTAAGGTGTTTTTGTTGTTGTTGCTCTATTCATTTGCACTTTGCCCTAGGCAGCCACTAAATGTCTGACCGAAAATAATTTTCGGTCTAGCCAGGATTCGAACCCGGTCTACCATCAACGTTTCCAATGTAGTCCAGCGCGTTAACCCACAGGACCACCACCGTTGCCTTGCCTTATGAGATGTTTATAGATATATTAATTTATTTCGTTTCTATGTACAGGTCGCAGGTACAGGTACAGGTCACAGGTACAGGTACATGTCAAAATACAAAACAATATTCTGTCACACAAGTTTAACTGATTTTGTTAATAATAAATTGATGAAAAAACATTGTGTTGAGTAGAAAATAAAGCATTGTATGCACCAC